AGAGTCTAAATTACTAAAATGCTCAAGCCCAAAAATTGAGAAAAATCTTAAAAATATCACCAAATCCACAGTTTTCTCAAAATAAGCATGAAAATAGTTGTAACAATCTATTTAAGCACAATGTAGCACAATTGTATCAAGAAATTCCAACAAATATGCATTTATCATAATATTCCCAAAAACTAGAAATATGTAGAATAAGAATTATAAAATGTCAAAGAAATTCGCAAATTGTTACCTCAAATGTGTGGAAGATGATAGAGGATGATAATGATGAAGAATGAGGAACAAACAAGTCCAATTTCACTCAGAAATCAAAGAATTTCCGTGCGGCCCAAAATCCCCTTTTGAAGATCAAAATCCACTTTTGATGATGTGTTGGTGAAATAGTTTAGGGTTTCTGATCATACAAGGGTTGTGGAGTTTTATGATGAAAGATTGGAGATTTGATGGTTAAAATGGAAAATTGGAGGAAAGAGGTAGGGTTTCGGTGAGAAGAGGGAAGAAGAATTTTGAAAAGTGCAGAAACGAAGCCTCGTTTCTGCTATATCCGGAAGGATCCGAGATCGGATCGTTTCTGGAGGCCTCGGATCCGACAGGGCTCGGATCAGTCCCAACAGAAACACAGACGACCCCTCGGATTTGTCTGGGTTAGCATGGATCCGAGCGGATCAATGGATCCGCGTGTTGGATCTTTCTGGGCTTTTTCGGATCCGAGCTCGGATCCGTATTTCTCTGCAATAATTGCAGAAACTGCAATTTTTCAAACTTTTTCTCCCTTTTCTGGCCAATCCAAATCACACATTGGACAAAATTTTTATCAATTCTAACCTCCCACACACATGTAATATACCATAAACACAATATCCAACCTCTCAAAACACATCAAACACATTTTCATTGAAAATCGAGGTGTGTTCTTTGATCATTTTTGCATTTTTACATCAAAATGGCAATTTTGGCATTACATATACATCAAATGAGTCGATGAGCCTTTATAACCATGATATCACCAAAACTCAATTAAATATACTTGAAATGCACAATGTATGTATATGCATGGGGATTTTAAGCACTTAAAACACAATTTGGTAAGAAAAACTCCCTTTTCACACATGTTCTTCAAGTGCACCTCCAAGATGGATGATAAAACTCCCGTACCTCCTACAAACAAGTGAAATACATCTAATTAGTCAATTAAATTACACCAAAATATAAGAAACACAAAAACACACAAATACACTATTATTATTGGGTTGCCTCCCAACAAGCGTTTTCGTTTATAGTCGTTGGCTCGACTCTCCTATAACTTCTTTAACTCTCCATTGCATTTCCTAAGGAGTAAATTACTCCTTTAGGAACTTTTTCTCCGGCCAAATAGAGCTTCAATCTTTGGCCATTTACTTTGAATGGAGCACCATTTTCTCCTTTTATTTCCACTGCTCCATAAGGAAATACTTGAGTAACTTCAAATGGTCCCGACCACCTTGACTTCAATTTTCCTGGAAATAACCTCAAGCGTGAGTTGAACAAAAGTACATTTTGCCCTACCTGAAATTGTTTAGGAATAATATGCTTGTCATGCCAATATTTGATCTTTTCTTTATAAATTTTGGCATTTTCATATGCATGTAATCGGTGTTCCTCCAATTCATTTATCAAGCATTCTCTTTTCACCTGCAAGATTAAAATCCATGTTAATAGATTTAATTACCCAATAAGCTTTGTGCTCAATCTCTACAGGTAAGTGACAAGCTTTTCCATAGACTAAACGATACGGCAACATCCCTAGGGGTGTCTTAAATGCCGTTCGGTAAGCCCATAGTGTATCATCTAACTTTGTAGCCCAATCCTTGCGTGATTTATTCACAGTTTTCTCCAAAATGAGCTTTATCTCTCTATTAGCTAGCTCTGCTTGCCCATTAGCTTGAGGATGATATGGAAGTGATGTCTTGTGCCTACAACCATATTTAAACAATAAGGAATCCAATTGTTTGTTACAAAAATGTTTCCCTTCATCACTTACTATGGCCTTGGGTATACCAAATCTACTGAAAATATTCTTTTTAAGGAATCTAAGTACAATCTTAGAGTCATTAGTAGGTGAAGCGATTGCTTCTACCCATTTAGAAACATAATCCACTGCTACTAAGATGTACTTATTATTAAAAGAACTAGGAAATGGTCCCATAAAATCAATACCCCATACATCAAATAACTCAACTTCCAAAAATGTAGTTAGGGGCATTTCATTTTTTGAGATATATTTCCAGTTCTTTGGCATGCATCACAATTTTTAACATATTCCCTAGCATCTCGGTACATAGTTGGCCAATAAAACCCTGATTGCCATACCTTTGCCACAGTCTTGGAAGTACTGAAATGACCACCTGTTTCAAGGTTATGACAATGATATAAAACATTATGTACCTCATCTTCGGGAATACATCTACGTATCATACCATCGGCACAATGTTATACAGCAATGGTTCTCCCAAAAGTAACTTGACATCATGTAAGAATTTCTTCTTTTGATGGATAATTAAACCCTTTGAATCTCTCCACTGACCAAGTAGTTAGCAAAATCTGCATACCATGGAGATTTCTAAGTGTTAGGACAAACTCATCCGGAAAATTCTCTTGAATTGGAACCTGATCTTTGATTGGAATATATTCCAAACGTGATAAATGATCTGCAACTAGATTCTCCGATCCCTTTTTGTCTTTTATCTCCACATCAAATTCCTGCAATAAAAGAATCCACCGAATTAGTCTAGGTTTTGCATCCTTCTTATGTAGCAAATATTTAAGAGCTGAATGGTCCGTATATATAATAACTTTAGATCCTACTAAATAAGATCTAAATTTATCTAAAGCAAATATCACTGCCAATAGCTCTTTTTCTGTCGTTGCATAATTGAGTTGTGCTCATTTAGCAACTTGCTAGCATAGTAAATGATGCAATCGTCCTTCTTTCTTTTGTCCCAAAACTGCTCCAACCGCATAGTCACTTGCATCACACATCAATTCAAATGGTAGTGACCAATCGGGTGAAGTTATAATTGGGGCCGAAATCAATTCCTTCTTCAACCTTTCAAATGCAACCAAACAATTGTCATCAAATTGAAAAGGAGTATCTTTACATAATAAATCACATAATGGCTTTACTATTTTAGAAAAATCTTTAATAAAACGTCTATAAAAGCCAGCATGTCCTAAAAAACTCCTTATCCCCTTGACATTGCTTGGAGGTGGCAATTTTTCGATAACTTCTATTTTGGCTTGATCCACCTCAATTCCCTTGGAGGAAATCTTATGTCCTAAGACAATTCCTTCTTTTACCATAAAATGGCATTTCTCCCAATTTCAGTACAAGATTTGTTTCCTCGCATCTCTAAAATCAATTCCAAATTATGAAGACAATGGTCAAAAGATGAACCATACACAGAAAAATCATCCATAAATATCTCCATAATTTTCTCAATATAATCAGAAAAAATAGCCATCATGCATCGTTGAAAAGTGCAGGAGCATTGCATAAACCGAATGGCATTCTTTTAAAGGCAAAAGTGCCATAAGGACATGTAAATGTGGTCTTCTCTTGATCCTCTGGAGCTATAGCTATTTGATTATATCCTGAAAAACCATCAAGAAAACAGTAAAATTCATATCCAGCTATTCGCTCCAATAATTGATCAAGAAATGGTAGGGAAAAATGATCTTTTCTTGTTACCGTATTTAACTTACGATAATCAATACACACTCTCCACCCTCACAAGTCTAGATGGAATTAATTCATCATTTTACCCACGATTGTAGTCATTCCACCTTTCTTTGGTACCACATGAATTGGACTAATCCAGACACTATGGAGATAGGAAAAACTATACCTGCGTCAAGCCACTTAAGAATTTCATTTCTTACCACCTCTTTCATGTTTGGATTGAGTCTTCTTTGTGTTTCCACCACTGGTTTGCAACCGTTCTCCAATAAAATTCGATGCATACATATAGAAGGACTTATACCTTTAATGTCTGAAATTGTCCATCCAATTGCTTTCTTACGCCTTCTTAGAACTCTTAACAACTTTGCACACTGCTCATCATCAAGGTCAGCACTAACAATTACAGGTGAAGTGCTATTTTCTCCAAGAAATTCATACCTTAGATGAGTTGGAAGTGGCTTGAGCTCTAACTTTGGAGGTTCAATTTCTGAAGGTTGTGAAACCCTTTTCCTTGGCCAAGACTTTCATACAAATTACCCCTTTTATAAGGTGATTGAAAATCCAAATACTTGACCAATTCTTCAATTTCTTCACATCCCCTTCTTGCTTCCTAAACTCATTAAACAATATTCAAGAGGATCAAAGTCAAATTGACTTGGCTCATCTCTTGAGTTAGTTTATCAATTGTGCTAATAGAATATGCATGATCGGTAAAAGAAGGGTATTTTCCTATTTCATGCAAATTAAACTCTACCTCTTCTTCACCTACTTGAAACTTCAGCTTGCCATTTTTAACATCAATAATAGTACCTGCAGTAGCTAAAATGGTCTACCAAGAATAATTGGCATAGATACATCTTCTTCCATATCTAATACCACAAAATCCACTGGAATAATAAATTTTTGAACTTTTATCAATACACTTTCCAACACTCCCAGTGGATATCTAATAGACCTGTCCGCTAGTTGCAAAGTAATATTAGTGCTTTTAAGCTCCTTCAAACCCAATTGTCTAGCCACCGTTAGAGGTATTAATGATACACTAGCACCAAGATCGCACAATGCCTTAGAAAAATCAATGTTACCTATGGTGCAAGGTATAGAAAAACTCCCCGGATCCTTCAACTTCGGTGGTAGCTTATTTTGAATAATTGCACTACATTCCTCCGTTAATGCTATTGTTTCACAGTCTTCCAACTTTCTTTTTCTAGTCATGATTTCCTTGAGAAATTTTGCATAAGACGGAATCTGCAAAATAGCATCGGCAAAAGGAATGTTAATGTGCAATTGTTTTGAACAGTTTAACAAATTTTTCAAACTCTTTATCAAACTTATTTTGCTTTAATCTTTGTGGAAATGGAATCGCAGGAGGTATTGGAATGGTAGTGGAAGATGATGGTTGCTTTTCTCTTGGATTCTCCCGACTATTTTCCTCCACAATCGCCTCTTGGTTCCTCTGCTTTTCTTCTTGTTTTTCATTCTCATCTTTCTCAACTTCCACCACTGGAGGTTCTTCTAATTGCTTACCACTACAAAGAGTAATGGATTTGACATGCTCCTTAGGATTTACCTCCGTTTTGCTAGGTAATTCTCCTTGATTTCGATTATTCAAAGAACTAGCAATTTGACCAATTTGGACCTCTACATTCCTGTACATTGTAGTGAGTTGATCCAATCTTCCTTCTACTCGCTCAAATCTGTCCAAAGTAACTTTTACGAGTTTTTCCACTGCAATCTCCCAACCCAGTTTAGTTTCAGCTTGTGGTTGCCTTGATTGGAACCCCGGTGGATTGGTTGGCCTTGGTTGATTTCCTTGATCCTTCCATCCAAAGTTTGGATGATTTCTCCACCCTGGATTGTAAGTATTCGAGTAGGGATTATTTTGAGCATTACGATTGTAATTATTGATGAATTGTACCTGCTCAGAATTAACACACTCATTAGTATCATGTTCACCTCCACATATAGAACAACACGCTACATGTGCATTAGATGAACTTGGACCAACTCCACCTTGTCTACTTAGCAACTTCATCACATTATTCATTTGAGCACTCAGCATATTGAGAGTGTCCATTTCTATCATACCTACGTGACGTCTTGTATTACCTCTCTCATTGGCCCATTGGTAGTTATTTGCTGCCATTTCTTCTATCAAATTATGAGCTTCTTGGGGTGATTTTCCCATTAAAGCTCCACCTGTAGCTGCATCGATCATAGTTTTAGTAGAAAAAACTAAACCATTATAGAAGGTTTGTATGATTAACCACTCCGGCAGTCCATGATGTGGACATTTCCGAAGCAAATCTCTAAACCTTTTCCATGCCTCATATAATGATTCACCTTCCAATTGGCTAAAACTAGTGATATCCATTCTGAGCTTAGCAGTCTTACCTGGTGGAAAATACTTATTCAAGAATGCTCTTGATAAATCATCCAATCTGGTGAAAGTATTAGGAGCATGAGAGTGTAGCCAAAGTTTGGCCTTATCTCTCAATGAAAATGGGAACAATCTTAGCCTTATAGCATCATCACTAACTCCATTCATTTTAATTGTATCACAAATTTCCAAGAATGTAGCTAAGTGTGTATTAGGATCTTCTACTGCATTACCTCCAAATTGAGACTGTTGAACCATTTGGATAAGTGATGGTTTAATCTCAAAATTGTTAGCATTTACCGAAGGCCTTGCTATGCTCGTTTGAGATCCTTGTGTTCCCGGTAGAGCAAAATCTCGTAGAACTCGCCTGTTTGCTTCGTTTTCTGCCATTTCTTCTTCAAATGGAAGCTCTATTAAGATTTCCTCTATTGGTTGCCAAATCCCCTGTTCCTCTTGTTGTAATGTGTTCCTCCTTTGTCTATGTAGTGTCCTCTCAATTTCTAGATCGAAAAGTGCAACTTCTCGAGACGCCCGGTGCATACACTACAAATAAAAACAAGAGAAATTTTGCAGTTTTAATTCAGCAACTTGAATAAAAACAATGAAAATATCTAAATTAATAGAGATGATTAGGCCCTAATATTGCCGCTCCCGGCAACGGCGCCAAAAACTTGACGGGATTTTTAATATCAATGCAAGTTTAATTCCGAATTTACACCCGTTGGACTGCAAGTATACAGGTCGCAATTGTAGTACAAGATGTGTATCGGGTCGATCCCACGAGGAGCAATTTAAACAATTACTAAGCCCTTGTTTTCTCTATTATTTAGACTTACAATTAATTTGAGCAGAGAAAATATAATGCTGTAATCTACAAATCTGATCTACAAATCTAGTTTAACAAATGCTGAATGCAAATAGCGAAATTTTACTTAAGGAAGATTCTAGGGATGTAGATTCCACTTATGGCATAAACAACACAAATTAATGGATTTACTTCTTGCTATTATTCTTGTTTAACCAGAGATTCATTTCCAAAATTACCAAGTCTCATTTTCGTGATGAAATGGCCTAGAGCAATATAGATTTCCCTATTTTCATGGTGAAATACTACTACTACTCTGTTTTATTTCATGAAATGCTAAATAATCCACCTAAGTGTATCTCTATTTTCATGAACATACAACTCAAGCTCTACTCATGTGTCTCCATTGTTATTACCAATTCTCATTGAACAATAACAACTATAAACAAGCTACTGGTGATCAATCAATAACAAGTAATCACAGCTACACAAGTAGACAAGTTAATACAAGATATAACAAGTGTAAATCACATTCAATTCATATTATTTAGCCATAAGTTTCATCTATTCCCTAGATAAAGAAAATTAGCTACTCATGAATGATTTAACAATCAAACTCACAAGTTTATTAATGCAAAACATCATGAAGTACAAGTATAAGAAAGATAAAAGAAAGCTTAGCCAATTGAAGGTAAAGCTCTCCAATTCCTGCTATGCTCTTGTACAAGATGGTTACAAGTGAAACTCCAAATGCTTCTCTAAGAACTCTTAGCTAGAGAGAAAACTTGTTACAAGAAGGAAAACTAGCTACGTATGGTCTCTTCTTTTTCCTCTGTGTTCTGCATAAAAGGTGGTAGAAAATCTACTCTCTTTTTTTCATAATTTCTTCCACTCAGATTTTGTAAAAAGAAGTCAAAGATATGATGTTTCTTTTTTTTCTACACTCATTTGGTCTTCTCTTTTGTTGCAGAAGCATGTGCCACCGATTTCTGGCCCTCAAAATAGCTGAAAAAGTTGTGAGAAAGGTAAAGAAAAATGGTTGTGCCACTTGCTGAGGAAAGAGACAGATCGAGCCTCGGATCCGAAAGGTGATAATAGATCCGAGCTCGGATCAATGGATCGAGGACTTTCCATGATGGATCCGAGGTCGGATCGTCCTGACCTCGGATACATTCCGCCAGAAGTACAGACGAGGGATCGGATCCCTCTTGTACACACGGATCGAGCTCGGATCCGTGTTGTGCAACTTTTCCATTTTTCACTTCTTTCCTTTTTCTACATTTTTGCTCCTCATTTCTTGTGTACTTTGTCCTCTGGATGACCTTTACATTTCTTTCAGCTCGTGCATGAATTTCATACTTCAATAACCTTCACAATTTCACAAAATTAATGCATTAATCCACTCATTTATCAAGTTTTGAACCCTTAAACAATATTTAAGCAATTATCACCGAAAGAGTTCAAATATGACTTTAATTTTCTCAAAACATACCAAAAATTCATGCCAAATTTGTACAAAATGTACGTTAAATATTCCCTTATCAATTACTATGATAAGTATATAAACAAAGTATGTTCTTTTTAATGTGTTTTATTATTTTTTAATTTATAATTTGAAAATACTTTACCGAACTTTATAGCTACTTTATTTTTCTTACACCTCTATAGTTTACTTTTGTTTTTTTTTTAAAGTGACATGGAGGGTAGTACGTGTCTAGAGATTTAATTGTAATCATGAGAGGAGATGTACTTTGGAGACTATTTGCCAATGCATAGTGTTTTATTTAACAATTTAGCAAGAGTAGTAACCAAGTTTCATAGTTACGAATTTTCCTTTTCATCAAATTCCTAAATTTATATCACTTTGCATAATTTGTCGCCTTCATTGAAATTCCTTAGCATATCAACTTAGCCATTACGTCGGCGAGATTTTCCCTCTAGGTAAGTTTATGGCAGTACTATGAGTAAGAGAAAGCCACCTAGGAATTGGAGAAAAATCCTGTAACATCGAGTTTTGTGTGAGCAAATGTTCGAATTTCGAGGACGAAATTCTTTTAAGGGGAAGAGAGTGTGAAACCCTGAAATTTTTCTTGTATATTTGAATTTACTTGCCTTAGATTCTTGGTTGAATGTGAGCCAAGGGAGTGAATTTTAGTAAGAAAAGTTTCATAATCTCAAGTTATTAGAAAATCTAGAAATTTTCGCAGGAGGCTCTGTGCAGCTTTGGAAAATTGGCTATAACTTCGTATAGGAAAGTCGGAATTGAGTTCCATTTGTTGCATTTGAAACTAGACTCATAAGAGCTTCCTACAGTGAAAAATTTAGAGTTTGATTCTGTGAGAACCCGTATTTTCCCTTAATGTTTTTCCTAGGATTTTTCCCTTTTAATTGCATGTTTTCTGCATTTTCTGGCTAGGAAAATTTTCTTGGTGGATTTTATGCGTTATTATAGTTTTTAGATGATTTTTCTAGCATTGGGTAGTTTTTGAAAAATTAAGAATATATATTGGACGTGGGACCCACTAGTGCGAGAAGTTCGGAAAAATTCGGCCAATTAGGTTAAATTCTGGATACTGTGTAAAATTTATCGGGTGTTTAGAGATAAGTAGAGTGGGTGAAATGATTGATGTGAGAGGTAAAAGAAAAGATAGGATTGCATTTACGAGAGTGACAAGTGTCACATAGTTATTGGATTTGACTTAAGAAAGACTATTCACTATTTTGACTTTTGACCCAAGGAAGTAAATATCTCAAAAATTCACAAAAATTACCATTTTCTTACCTTGTGTTGGCCGGCTCTCTCTCTTGCAAGAAGGAAGGAAATTCTTCAACTTTCTAGCTTCCATTTCACTCATCTTCCACAACTAATCACCTAGAATAGATTCTACTCCATAAAAACCTTTCTTCTAGTGCTAGTAAGTAGTTTGGTGAGTTTGTTTGAAGACTTAAGGTGTCCAACATCTCTCTCTCTCTTAATTTCTTGGTAAGTGATGCTTGAACACCCTACTACACCTAATGATGTTTATGTTATGCTTAGAAGTAGCTTGAGTGATGGTATATGTGATTTATTTCTTGGTTTGAAGTGATTTGGTTTGAGTTTTTTATTTTTTGAGGAATTTTCTGGTTTCATATGATCTTGATGGTGTGGTTGTTTTTGATGGTTGGTAATAAGGGGCTTTGACTCTAGTAGGTGTAAATGATTGGTAATTGCAACCAATTTTGTTTTGGACCAAAAATTGAAAAGTGAGGGTTTTGTGATGAACATTCTGTCCGAATTTTTAGGTCCTAGTTAGAGGCCGAATTGGACTTTGCTCAGAACATGAAAGTTGTAGGTATTGATGATTTTGAAGTGCCTGAAACATTTCAGGGCATTTGGAGTAGTGTAGAGTGAGTTATGACATTTTTACTGTTGCTGTTTTGGGTGATCAGAATGTGCGAACTGTGATTGTAATCGTCTGGTTTGACTGGAATTGGTTTAGATTTTGTTGTTGGTGTCTTCTGATGAAATGTGGCTTGATGTCTTAGCTATCATATGCCTTTGGAATCAATGTATTTGGACCTGTATAGACTGAGATAGATGAATTACAGTTTTGTGTGATCTGGGAACCTGCAATTACGGTTCTGGGTTGGTTTTCTACATTTTGACCTAGTTGTGCTAGGATTTGGACTGAGTGGCCTTCTACATTGTTGTAGCCCTGTCTCTTAGCTTCGCGATGGTGGGTCTTACGTCCTCATCCGATAAGTTTAGCGCATTTTGTGCCATTACCGCATTAGGAGGCAAAAACTGTTTTTGTTGTGGGATCAAATGAGTTCCATTTGCTGAAATTTCTGGTTTGCTATTGTGCTTGTTTATGCATATGAAACCCTATTGGGTTATAATTGGCTTGGCTTGATGACTCGTTATCGAGTCTTATGGTATTTGTTTACATGTTCTAGGGCGTGACGTTAGTGCACGACGTACTAGGGACGACGGTGCATGAAACCTCACTTGCTTACTTTGTGAGTATACTACTCACTTAAATGTTACAATGTG